CTGCTGAAGGTCTATGATGCTGCTGAAGGTCTATGATGCTGCTGAAGGTCTATGATCCTGCTGAAGGCATCCTGCTGAAGGTCTATGATCCTGCTGAAGGCATCCCTCCATATGTGTCTTCTTGTTCTTCTCAGGCCCTGATGTCTCATGGCTGGTTATCTCTTCACAGGGACACTTACCTCCCCCTTTTTGAGCTCCTACAATGTGGGCCCCTCTCCACCTCCAGTACAATATGTTAAAGCATGGTGACTACATTTTTGAGAAATTGAGAGGGAATCAGAGATTAGATGTTATTAAGACCACTTCCCACTCTGAAATTCTATAATAGATAAATTAACATAGTTAAATATTTGCAAGTTCATGCTCAGAAAATGGGCTAGGGATGCATTGGCATGTTGGTACAAATGGCCATGTTTAAAATAATCACTAATGCCAAGTAAAGGTTGGGCATAAATAGCTTTGAGTAGGGGCAGTAGATGTGGCATATATGTGAATATGGTTGGAAGCGCAAGATCTGAACATGGGCAGAGAAGTCAGGATATGTTTAGCCACAGCAGCTCCCAAAGGGAGAGCAGATAATAGTGGAAGGTGGCCAGAAAAATAAGTAAATATCTGTCAGTGTTGTTCAGGCCAGAAAGCAAAGTGTTAACTAATGAGCATCTTAATATGTATCAAAGAGATTAGTGATGGTTCTGAAACCAATTCATGTGGTCTGTTAATGTATTGATTACATAGTATCACCCAGTTCCATAGATGCTAAAACTCATTGTTTTGCTTGCCCATTGAGGAGCAGACACTAGGCTACAGGTAACTTATGTTATGCCACCATCTTTTGGTTGAATTTAAATGCCTTCTTCACTAATCAGAACTATTTTTGATATATTTTAAATCAGAGTATTAGAATTTTAATAAAAATTAGTATGCTTTTGGATAAAAGGTAATGATAAATAACTCATGGAAATATAGAAGTGAAATATATACATACTTATATAATAAATTAAGGACATATAAAATTCATACTAGCTAATAAAAGACTGTTGCATGAATCTTAAAAGTTCTTATTAATAAAATCAAACCCGAGGCGAGTTATTGGGGTCCATGCTGGTAGATCAGAGAGACAGAACAAGCCACAGCTATCTCACCTCGCCAGATCCTCAGCTGGTCTTGTATCCTCAGACTGGAGGCCTCTGAGTCCTCATCCGGAATGGGTCTCAGCTGAATTACTGCTCAAAAGCCTGAATGCTTAACCCGCCAAAATCTTAACCAGCCAAAATGCTTCTAGTTTCTGGTCCTCACGCCTTATATATCTTTTTGCTTTCTACCACCACTCCCTGGGATTAAAGGCTGGCTTTCTGGGATTAAAGGCGTGTGTCACCATGCTTGGCTATTTCCAATGTGGCCTTGAACTCATAGAGATCCAGAGTAATCCATCATTAATTCTGCATTTTTGTTAAAGATTTTTGTCATACTCGTTAATGTTTAACATCATCCTTTTCTGCATCCTAACACCTCACTACTGTTCCTCACAGGTTAAGTGTGTAGCAAATCCTCCTAACAGAGTCCTTACGCTGGGTAAGTCCATTCTCAAGGGCCCTGAACATCAGATATGGTACTATATGCACATGCATTTAACTACATCCAAGCATTTGTGCACACGTGCCCACACTCCACTGTGATTATTTTAAACAAGGTCAATGCAGTGGAGCCCTCCTGAACCACTATCATGCTTGATATCATGAAGAAAACAGTGCTTTGGAGTAAGAGAAATTTGAGCTTCAGAAGAAAAACACAAAATTTTTGAATGTACTAAATGGAAACAATAGATTCTTACACAATCAAGTATTTTTCCCCAATCACGCCAAGCAAGTGTGCATTCCTTTGCTGTATCTGTGTGACAATTAGTGATTCTGGGAGATAGTTTATTAGGTTGGCATTTGAAATAGTTGCATGTGGAGGAATGTTTTTGTAATATTAAAAATCTGTATTTATTTTTGCCTAGATATAGTATACTTTAAGTGTAATAATATTCCCCTAGGTTATCATTCATTTGGATTTTGGTAAAGTTCTAGTCCTGATTAGGCTACATAGCAAGAAACTGTTTTTAAAAAAATAAAGAAAATAAAGAGAAGACAAGAAAACTTCACTTGAACATAAATATGCATACAACACACACACACACACACACACACACACACACAAAGATAAAAAATCAAAGGCTGTCAGATCAGATAAAACATAAAGCTACATATGCTACATAACAGAAATCACTTTGAATATAAACCCATTGGGATGTTTACAAGAAAAACACACAAAAAAGAGAATCATGCAAAATTAATCAAAACAAAGCATAAATATACATCAGGAAAAAGGTAATTACAGAATAAGAACAAGATGAAGAACATTTTAATCTAGTCAGCTCATCAAGATTACATAATAACACAAAATGTGTTATACATAATGCAGTTTTAAACACATTATGCAACTGAAATAGGAGAAAAACAAATCTAAAATCACAGCTGGAAATAACAAGATATCTGTGGGGGAAGGTTTTGTCTCTGTCTCTGCCTCTCTCTCTCTCTTTCTCTCTCTCTCTCTCTCTCTCTCTCTCTCTCTCTCTCTCTCTCTCTC